CCCCCAGTGCTTTGCCTCAGTGTGGCGGGGTCAGATCAGGTGCAATTCCCACACTGTGTCACTGGTGTTGTCCCCCACAGGGCCATGGGTCAGTGAGGGCCATCACGTCTCATAGTGGGGCTGGCCATGTGCCGACCTGGATTTCAAGCGCATCAGGAGCAGATTTGAAATACAGAATACTAAGGACACAAGACCTGAGGAGCTGGGGGAGGACATGAAGAAGGCCATTCGTGAAGAAAGTCAGCAAAAGGCTATTCAAACGACAGGAGAGAAAGGAAAGATCAAAAAATTTCAAAAGAGTCCCTGAGCCTTGCTCTTAATCAGAGTAACTAAGGTTCAGGGTAGAAATAATGCAATCAATGAGCCGAAGAAAATTTCAAAAGGCAGCTCAAGAAGATAAAGGAAAATATGATCATGAAATGTGCAAAGACCTGGAGCTAGAAAACCAGAAAGGAAGAGCACGATCGACAATCTTAAACGGAAAGAACTCGAGAAAACACTCAAGCCTCAGTTACAGTATCAAGAGACTGTGGGAAAAATGCTGAATGATGCAGGAAGCATCCAAAGAAGATGGAAAGAGCACACAGTCACTGCATCAAGAAGAACCCCTGGAGGTAGCCTCGGAGCAAGAAGCAGAGGTGCTAAGGGAAGAATCCCAAGCTGTGATCAAAGTGTTAGCCAAACACCAGGCTCCAGGAATTGATGGAATAGCCATTAAAATGTTTCAACAAGCTGCTGAAGGACTAGAAGCACTTACTCATCTATGCCAGGAAATTTGGAAGACAGCAACAGTCTGTCAGTCTGTCCTACTGTGGTGGTTCGTGTACTGCTATGATGTTGGAAAGATATGACTGGGATTTCAAATCTGGGTCAGTCCGATTTTAAGCAGAACTTCCAAACTAAAACTGACTAGGGAGGAGGCCCTGGAAATCTGTTTCTAAAGTTCAGTCAGTGAAAACCTACAATAGAAATAACAGAAGGTGAAGCAATAAACCCAGGCCTACAAGAAAACGTGAAGATGAAAAAGGGCTTCCATCAAATTGCTGTTGTGGTGGTGGTTAGTGTTAGGAGCAAGAGAGAGCCTCTTCAAGTCAGATTCCACCCTGATGTCAGTTTACAGCTCTCACTGCTGTGAGCCAGAAAGGTTTCCCTGAATTTCAGAAGTTCAGCGCCAGCCCTTT